TAATTTAGGCTGAGTTAACACATTCTTATGATTGCTCATTTCATTCTTCGGTGGTTTTACATTTTTATTTCTTTCAAAATTAAGTTTAACTTCTCCCAGCCCTGCTTGTGGCAATTTTTTTTTACAAATTATTTTGGACGTTCAACTCATCCAATAAAATTTACATGAAAGGCTAATGCAATGCACAATGTTCTGATAAGGTTTAATAAAAACAAAATAAAGTCTTTCCTCAAGGAAGCGAAACTTTGACTTTAAAAGTTGTCAGTGTACAATTTCTAGTAATTTGTTTTGAGCCAGTTGCATGAAGTTTTTTCAATGTCTTATTGTGTTAACGTTTCTTCTTCACAGCAACGACCAGTGAAAACCCGGAAATCAAGTAAGGTAAGCATCATTCTGTACACTGCAAACATCTTTACTGTTTTAATATTTCTGACTTAAGTGCTTCATCTTTCTTTTAGCCACCTCAACAGTCAAAGAGGACATTATCCAAATCAGTGAGTACAACAGTTAAAGTATCAGCATACTCCCTTTTCAAAACGTTTTAACTTGAATTTTCCGTTCACAGGAAGAAGAAAAGAGTAAGTCTGAATCAGATGATTCGATAATCAAACTTTCTAGTGAGGAGGAGGAGGAGGAGGAGAGGAATGATGTTGATGTTAAAGAGAAGGTAGATGAGCAGGACACGGTATGCCTTCAAAGTCCTTTTTATCTATCCATCATAGTTTCGTGTCCTAGTTATTGTAGAAGTTAAAGAGGTGAGAATTACTTCTTTTTGCTGTAACTGTTGTTTTCTTTTCAGGTCGAAACAGCAAGTCCGACGGAAAATGACTGTTTAGACAACCCTGACCCTGGTCTTGTTGGTAGGTGTTTGCCTTCTGCTTTCAATATTTAATCTTAATTAATTATGCCTTTGAGTGGAACACAAGCTTAATGAATTTTTTCTTTTCCTCCTAGATGATGAATGCATCATTTGCTTAAACAGATTTGTATCTGGGGTAACTTATCTTGGCGTGTGTGTGCCATGCCACCATGATAAGTTTTGTTACCCGTGTGTACTGGGTCATGTAATAAATCATTATAAGTGCCCTTGGTGCATGTACTCTGCATGGAGGGTCGAATCCCGCCTTTACCATGGTTAATAGTTATCTGGTTTTAGTATCTACTTTTTTTAAAAAAAATTATTTTTGATAACTGTTTTTAGTTAAATATTTAAGAATCCTAAAACTTCCCTTTTCACTTTTATTCTTAGAGATTAGTTTTTACTATTGTATTCCATTTGACAGTATTTTTTCTAATAGTGTTTGCTATCTATGGCTTTGCATAGCTATTTTGATTATAGCTTTAAGATCAAAGTCAGGGTACTCGTGAACTTAATTTTATTTGTTGCTTCATTGACCAGCTTTAGTTTGCTATTATGTTTATTGATAATGTTAAATTTTAATAGTTCAAACAATTGACACAAGTTCATTGAGTGATTTAGTATCACATGTTTGCTTTTGAATAAATCAAATTGATTTCCTTACACATTCTATTTTCTGCTAACCAGCTCCCTGCACCTTGATTATTTCCTTAAATTAGAAGTTTTTAAGAATTGACTCTGAAATTTTGTCTGTGAAACTTGGAGCCAGTAATTGTTCCAAATGCTGATAAAATTTCTCTAGTTGATTTACAAATATGCAGCTCTTCCTTATAGACATCTCACTTGTATGGAGCAGACCAACCTGTCCAAAAGAATTATAACTTAGCTGTTATCGATCAAAGAGTAGACGGAGTAGACCAGTCATATGCATTTGAAGAGGAATTATGGTGAGCAAAAAGGAAAAGGACAATTACCAAAGAACAGTTTTTTTGTTTATTTAAAAAAGTAGAATTACAACCAAGCAGCTAAAGAATGGCACTAAACTGTAAACAGAAGAGGATTAAACCACTGCTGATCACTATCTTTTTAAATCCTCGGTAATTTTAACTGGCGTACACATCTACACATGCATGTTAAAAAAATGCTAAATTACATAAAATTACATAAAATCTTTGACTATATTGCAGCCACTGCTTATCATATCTGCTTAAATAGTAAGTGATTTGAATTGACTAATTGTACATCAACACACATGCATGCTAAAAAAATAAATTAGATTAGATAAAATTACATAAAATCTTTGATAATGAATGTTGGTGTCAATCCAGAAGTTGCCAGCAATCTTCAAACTTCTTCCACAGCCCGGTCGTAAGCATTATCAAAGGTGTACGATGCAGCACTAAGATAACGCATAATTACACCATCACGGTTCTCTGGTGGATTCCTGAAAGTTCTGGCCAAAGTTCTCAGTCGGCGATCCAACATGATGGCCGAAGTCTTCCTGCCTCGGTTTGGCTGGCGACCTTGCCTCAATGCTTTTACATCAGCAGCTGCATTTCTTTCCATTGATATGAGAGCACCTAGAAAGGAGTATGCACATAGGTGAAAAGTAAAATTTACACACTTCAATATCCATAGCACATTGTAAAATATCAAAAGGAGAAAAATGAGAAAAATTGAACGTATGGTCTTTGATTCATGAACATATACTTACAGATGAGTTGGTAGACACTAGGATGGGCTACCTTCACATAGTTGCGCAGCATGCGATTGTGGCTCTCACAAGTATTATTAGTTCTGTGCTCCGATCAGAAGACACACATCCAGTTCCTCTTAATGGGGTTTCCCACCCAATTACGTAGGAGATAAGCAAAGAAGGGCCTAATTTGCCTATACACTCTGACGCCAAAGCCTCTAGCCTCATCTAAAATCAAGTTGAAACCTCTTCTGATGAATCGACGAGGGAGCAGGGGCAATGCACAGCAAAGTTTCATTAGTCTTTTGAAAGGCTGCCTTCTCAGTAGCCGAAGCATCCCCAATGTTATTTTAGCATATTTAATGAAGGCCTTTAGACAAAAATTAAAAATAACAACAAAGTCCAGATTTGTTACTTTAGCAGCTGGTTCTTCAATTTAACTGTAAATGCAGAACTTACTCGCACCAGGTGAAAAAAGCATCCCTGTAAAGTTACACCAGGAAATTGAGCAATGACAGATGCGCGTATGGCAGGCTCAAAATCAGATATAAATGTTTCTAGATTAGGGAAGACATTGCCCACAAGGTCTTGAATAGCACTTAAAACTGCTGTGTAAGCTGGGATTGTTCTAGCCTGCATTAGCACCCATGCTACAGGCAAAACAGTATGGTCCCAGTTCCCAACAACACAGAAAATCTGAAATGATGACATAATTACAAAATTAAAGGAACTATTTTGTTAAAATAGTAGCTCCAAGAATAAGCACTGATTTTTTTCTCTCTCACCTGAGAAGCTGCATCCAAGTCTTCCATGTTTGGAAGAGTCTTAAAAGTGCCATCTCCGAATAAAATTTTAAGTTGTCTCAATACTCGAGCCATACGTCGAGTCATAAATATCACATGATGAGACCCATCTGCTGCATTAACACTAGCAGCATACAAATTATCCCGCCCGTCAGATGTAGCTGTCAGAACCCTATATCTTGGATCCTGCAGAATTGCTGTCAACTCTTCCAGAGATTGAGGGGGAGGTGGGAGGGCACTGTATCGTGCTCTCTGCATGGCTGAGCGCATGTTTGCCAGCCTAACACGACTTGTTACTCCAATTGGGAACCTGAAAACACCATAAAAACAGAAAGTGTGAGGTCCACATGTTAACACAGTTAAATCAAGGTTTCAGCTGCTCACCCTCTACTCTCTTGAGTTATGATCTCCCTAAACGAAATTACTTCCAGAGATGTACATCTTTTCAGGATCCTTCTGCGAAGTCGCATTACATTAGGATAGTGGCGGTCTCTTCTGCACCCGTCATGTCTCTTGGTGTGGATAAAACCTTGTCGACGGGAGTACAAAGCCCTTCCATGGCAATGCTTCCCAAAGTGAATACACTTCAAATATACTTTCCTATTTCTGATGTTATTTATGTGGTAATGATACCCGTCATTAATGTGGTAAAACCAGGAACGTTTACGAGACCCTCTTTCGCGTCTAACCCTGTTGATGTTAACCATCGCATGGAAATCGAAAAACTGAACCTGAAAATAAAATATAAGTTACAGAAAACACAATGTCAACAAGGTTAACAAGGTAGACGAAGTAGTAATTTTGTAAAGTGTAATAATAATAAGAACACTAAACATATAAGAGCTGCAATAAGTTAGCTAAATCCCAGGACTGTTATTGGAAAGAGATTGACAGCATTTACCTAGTAACGTGAAGAAATATTAAAAGGCTTTTCGAGTTTTTAACCCAACAAGTGGCTAAGTGGTTTCATGAGGCAACTGATTTTGTCGGGCTGGTCCGAAGCAGAAAAAATGGGAAAGGGAAATAAATGACAGTAGCCAACGGCTGAGTTGTCACAACTGTTTGTTAGGCTGCAGAAAAACAAGGTACAGCGAACAAAAGTTTTTTAAAAAATACACAATCACAAAACGATATAGAATATTTAGTTTCAAAAGACAGTAAATTTGAAGCACATTCGTTCAATAGCTGCTTTCAAAAAATTTTTGGGTTGGTACGGTAATTGGATGGAAGACCAGCAAAGAAGAAAGAAGGCAAGAAGCACAAAATCGAGGAGTGCGGCGGAAGTGCTTTGGCCAGCAAGGCTACGGTTCCCCCTCACCACTGTTTTGTTGTTTTGTTCTAATTTCAACTTTTATTATTAACTTTTATTATAATCATTAACTTTCATTTTCATTTAGATAAAATGATAGATGTGTCCTGTAACGGTTCTGAGTATGAATTCAAAATCGAAGGGATCTTCTCTCTGTGAGTCGCAGTGAGTCTAGTCCGAAGTGGTTGTGTTGTGATACTCTCCAACGGTCGCTAACGGAAGCTTGTGTTTCTCCATATTATTGAGCAAATTATCGTTTGCCCTTTAACTTATCTTGAACTTGTCGATACCATCTGCAGTTACATATTTTTCTATCAAGCGTTCGTCTTTGATGAAAATGGTATTACAAATGGTTGTTATTCTCCGTCCCATCAGAGGTTATGTTGCATTTCGTTAATCGAATGATTCACACGTTCAAATGTACAACCGTTACCTTGGCTGAAAGGTGTCGTACAAATTTCCGATTCCTTTTCTAAATGTTCTGTAACATTTTCTCTTTCAACAGGTCATGGCTATAGTCTGAAGTTTTCTAAGCCTTCCCTTCCTGCTGCTGCTTCTGCTGCTGAATGGTGTTTGCGAATTGGCTGAGAATTTCTTATTGAAGGGTTGAAAGTGAAAAAGGTTAGTTCCCTTAGCTCTCTATTGATCACACGTGTATTATGTTATGTTTTTATCATGCAGGCTAATATTCTTATTCTGTTGACAGACAGTAATGTCCAGCTTGAGCTATTATTACACAACGTTGGAACTGTTTGAGCGTATTCCTCTTGCCACTGTCAGATGAAAGGCATCTTGCCTTTCCTGAAATTATTATTGGGGCTTATCATTTTTAGCAGTTTGACGTATATCTTTCTCAATCTGAGTTGAGAATGAGATTCAAAGGCTGGAGAAATTAATTTTATTAAGATAAGTGGGGCACTTTCAGTTGAATTCTTAGTCATCTCTACCTTTTTCTTTACTTCGTAACTGTCCAGTGTCATGTGTATGCAACTTCTCAGCAATTTTCTTGATATGTCCACTGTTTGAAGTGTGTAAGTTTTTTTGTTCTTTGAAAGTGATTGTTATTTTTTGTCAAGTTTTTATTGTGTGTGGTTTCCTACACTCTTTGCTAGTGACTTAAATTGCCTTTTGTTGAGAGCTTGTATTGTTAAGGATTGTTAGCGTGTTCTTATTGCTGTTCATTTCTTGTTTTCTGAACGCTC